CCCGAACTTTGCGCCGTTCTACAGATTGTGTCGTTGCAGTGGTATAAATGTCTAGGCCATGTGACACACACACACCCAATATATACACACACACACGCAGTTTCATATTCGTATGAAGTATATATTTTGAAGGCGAAGGGAAGCTTTCATCCAGCAGCGAATTAATGGTCGTTCGTGAAGATGATAATGTTGTTTTGGACAGTCGTGCAGATGGGAGCGGTGGCGCAGTGATTAGCGCACTGCGCTACGAACCCGGCGCCGCTCACGGCTAACATCAGCGACGATTATCTAAACCGGCTGTGGGTGGGCGCTCCCTTAGGTCGACTTCAGCCTTAAGCACGAGTACCTGGTGTGCTGTGCCAACATCACCACTGGCGAGACAAAGGCGGCCGTGCCGATGCTCGCAAACGGTACTTGCCCCAATGGCCTGCAGAGGCTATCGGGGGGATCTTTGTCTTTGTGTCACCGTGTTCCTGTGAGTGAGTGTGTAACGCACGGAGCTCTGGGGGATGTTTTCTGTTTTCAATTACTCCCTCTGGCGTGTTTCGCGTGATTACAATGCGTACTTAAAAAAAAAACACACGCACAAAGGGATTGTAAGCGAGAACCTTTGGTTACTCGGCCTGTAAGCGGTAACAATGCGGCCTTGTGATACGCAGCGCTTGGGGTTTGACTCCTATCCCGGGTTTCTGAGCCGGGCTCTCAAGGGCAGCGTGTTAACGGTGTCAGCACGCGGACACCAATGAATTGCGTACAGATGATCGACTGAATCACATCGACAACCCCATAGAGACCCTAGAAACTCACGTAGGAAGCCACAGGCTCGCACCGGAGATCTGTAGACCCAAAGTTAATTGTAACTCGCTGAACGAAAAGTTCGTCGACAAAACCTCAATAACGTCCGAACAATGCGAAAGAAGCTAAAAAGAAGAGCCGTTGCACGACGTTTCGGGCAATGGCTCTTCTTCACATCACACAGAGAAGCTTTCTATTCAATGGGGCCTGATAGTAATTCGATTTAAATAAGTATAACTCGTAAAAACAAAGTTTTTCACTATAAATCCTTTATATGCGTGGCGGCTAGAGTCCGCTCGTCCTCTGGCTTGAGATGGCTGCCACCTATGGGTCAGATGATGGTCTGCAGTATTAAACAATTGGTAATTAAATATTTAATTTGTTTTCCCTAAACAGTGTAAAATTTTGGAAAACATTTTCACGAACATTAATTGTCTCGCACAACGAGTCTGTGTGCAAAATGTCAGCTCGATTGGATCACGGGAAGTGGGTTAAAAAACGACCGAAAGGTTTGCACGGTCGTAAGCAAGCAAGCAAGCACGCAAGCACGCAAGCAAGCAAGCGAACTTAATATAAAGGATTTAAAAAGACGTGTTACTCCAACAAGCTTTGTTGCAGACTGGTGATCATCGCTTGGTTACAGCCGTGCAGAGCAAGTGGTGGAAATTCCACATTCCTACGGGGGGGAAGGAGCGAGTCGATCAACTTTTTACATCTCCACAAAGTGTATGGTATCTTCTTGGTTCTTTTGGTAAAGTCATGTAGAAGGGAAATAATAAAAATAATAAAAATAAAACATAATAAAATTATTTTCTTATGTTTAATAGTTTTATTATTTTATTATTTCCCTTCTACGTGACTTTACCGAAAGAACCAAGAAGATGAATCCCTGCAGTCACGAAAGCTTTAAATCGAAATTCAAAGTGTATGGTACTTATTTTATCGACCGAGGGTTAGGGATGATGGGCTGAGCCAATCGGCCGGTTGTCAAAGAGCTTCACAGCGCATCGGATTCCTCCAGTATGAATATACACATGGACACGTGTACTAATATACACGTGTAGAACGATGCGTTTACATACATTACTCAAATTGTAAATGTTGCGGCTTTAACACACCGGTGGGCTAAAGCAGTGAACTATTTGTCTTTTGTCAACGTGACACATTTTTACTGATTGGCCGTGTCGGGTGGTGGAGGGTTACGACACATTTATAAATAACGCGATCTAAACCCAAAAACGTTGATTATGAATAACAGAGATATTACATTCTCACAGACCTCCCTCTGTATTGCCGATGCAGTCTGTTAGTGTAGTCGGCGAGCACCTATTAGTTCCTATACGGGGCACGTGAGTGTTTCGTGGGGGCCACAACCACACACGACCGCCTTTGTCTCCCCCAGTGCAGACGTGTACTGTACATACCGCACCAGGTACTCGTTTAAGTCTGAGTCGAGGAGAGCCACAGACAAAGAACCCGCGTATAGCCTTCACAGACTGTTGGGGCAAGTGCTGTTAGCGAGCAGACTATGAAGGCCGGCACGGCACAGGAGGGGATGGGTGGCCAGCACCACGCCCGGACCGCCTTTGTCTCCCGAGGTCACGATGTTTACACGCCGCACCCAGGTACTCATTTGAGGCTGAGTCAAAAGTCAAAGACGCACACAAGCACAACGTTGCCCCCGTTAAGGTCTCGAACAGATTGTTGGGGCAAAGTCAGTGTCGGATTAGCATGTAGCATGATGTTATAAATGGGCCCTAAATGAAAAATACACGTAAATATTAAAACACGTAAATGTTTAACTTGCATAGTAAAGTAATTGTATTTTTTCATTTGCTATACAGCCATATAATACGACAAATAGCTAACCTTAAACACCCAGTCGTTCGTAAAAGTTGAAGGCGGTATAGTACTATAGTAATAGAGCAAGTGCAGAATCACTCAACCGGAATTGATAGCTTGAAAGCATTTAGCGCGGGGCCCTTGAACGTGCGGAGCCCTTTAGCATCATGTGTAGCTACTTGTGCTACTAGGATAATCCGGCAATGGGCAAAGTTCAGTTCCCAAACCTCTATTCCACAGAGAACAACACGCACACAAATACAGACGCACACATTTAGAGAGACACAGGAATAGAGACAGACGCACGGTGACATGAAAACACCGAGAGACATAGCAACATGAAACTGCCGTTCGCAGCTGAGTAGCGGTGACATCGCCACTGCGCTTGTGCCAGGCTTGGTGCGCCTTGAGACGAGTACGCAAAGTTCAAAGTTCATTTATTAGGTAGAGCCCTGTGAGCCATTCGGCTCTTGAATCGGGTGCAACCGCAACAAACAAAAAGCAAAAACATGAACAAGAAAACATCTTAAAGTGACTATGTGCAAACAGAAAATCCAAGAAAAGACAGCAAAATATTGCAGAACAATCACCGTACACCAACGCTGTGCAAATATCCCAGTGGGATGCAAGTCAAACAACAACAACCACAAGACCTACTCTTAGTTCTTTCGGTAAAGTCACGTAGGTAAAAAATGAAATTAAATTAATAAAAATAAAACAATTAAAACGATAAAAATCACGACATTTCGGAGGCAACACAAGCTTCCGTCTTCAGGTGAAACCGTCACAGCAAAATCACCTGAAGACGGAAGCTTGTGTTGCCTCCGAAACGTCGTGATTTTGAATGTTTTTATTATTTTATTTTATATTAATTTTTATTTCATTTTTTACCTACGTGACTTTACCGAAAGAACTAAGAGTATGAATCCTTGCAGTCACGAAAGCTTCAAATCTTGAACCACAAGACAACTTAGATTAGGGTCATCAGTCTAACATTACACACGCGCACATAGACACGCGAACTTACAGAGAAACACACTAACAACGAAGAGATAGACCGGTTCTTAAAGACACACACACAAACACAGACAGGTAGAAGGTACACATCGAGACTGAGAAGTCTGCAACACACCCAGAGCATCACTCATCCCCTCCATTCTTTCCCCACGTGGTCGCCATTGTCTACATTCTATTGTGCGAGTCAATGGCCAATTAACGCAGTTAAAGGGAGGATCGGTCTGGTCACGTTTAGCAGGAGGATGGAGGAGGTGTGGCGGTGCAGAGTGTGAGATGTGTGTGTGTATGCATTGTTGAATTTTGTTTCGCACCGGACCAGAGCCAGCAAGTCGTTCTAATCGTAGGTGCGGTGGCTAGGAGATGTTAACTACCTCGCCTGGTATACGAGAGGCCGTGGGTTCGATACGACGCCTGCTGCTGTATTTTTGGAGTTTGTGTGTATCTCTCCCCGTTGTCGCGTGGATTTTTATCTGGGTCCTCCGGTCCCCCCCCCCCCACCACCACATTAGGAATCAACAAGTATTTGTCGGCTATACATCTGTACGCGATAAGCCACTACGTTGACGCTTTCATTTGTGACCATGTCGCTTCAGAAAAAAGAACTGTAGAGCTCAGTGGGCATTACCTGGTAAAATCAAAATAGTTCAGATGTTGACCTAAAGCTTTCGTGACTGTAGGAATTCATATTCTTTGTGTCTTTCGGTAAAGTCACGTAGATAGAAAATAAAATAAATAAAATGCAAAAATACAAAAATATATAAAAATATAAAAAAAACTCGCGACGTTTCGATCGCAACACACGCGATCGTCTACGTGACTTTACCGAAAGAACCGAAGAATAGGAGACTGGTTTCTAGTGTACACACACCTCCGTTTGTCTATCACCCTCCCCTCCTCTTCACCCCACCCCCCACTTCGTCTGTACCCATCCCTGGACTCCCTCGGCCACGTCCCGACGGTTATCCCATTAATGTCGCTCGCGAAATGGGATATCATTGAACCGACGTGGGGAGAGAGAGAGCCACGCGCACATCGCTCATCGCACAGTGCAGCCCTGGCCCTTGCTGGGTACGGCTCAGGAGCGCTGGTTGTGGTTCTTTTTTCCCACTGCACAAGCCGAGCCGTGCCGAGCCGTGCCGCTGGTGTCACTCGCAACGGACACATCGAGATGCATGTAGATGCCCCGAGTGTGATGATTGGTCACCAGTCCCAGCACTATCCAGGCTCAACCCCGCTTAGCTTTCCGATATCTTTGTGGGTAACTTACATAATGATTATTCCCCCCCCTACCACTTACTCATTCCCGCCCTCTCACCCCCCCTCCCTTCTCTCCCCGCCCCTTCCAGGAGCGATTCCACTCAGATCGATGGTGGAATTGGACGACGAAAGGCAAGCCGTCCTCCTACTACGCCTCCCTCGTCACGGGCAACACGTGAAAGTCGCTTTGCAATCGTTCTTTAAAGAAGAAACATCACTGACACGGATCTCCATGCCCGCGTCGGACATTACGAGACGCGCAGCCAGGGATTGTAACCACGATGGGTGCCGCGATAATCGCGACGACCGCGATAATCGCGACGACCACGATAATCGTGATACAGCAGCGCGCGATACGATATCCACGATAATCGTATCGTCGTTCAGTCGTGCAGAATATCTCTGCGCGCCCTCGTGGTGACGGTGGTGACGGTGGTGGTGGTGGCGGCGGTCGCTTCTCGTCCTTGAAAGAAAAATAAATAAATATTATTTAATCCCCTGGCAAAATATTTATGAAATTACAAACTCGGCAATTAAAGTTGTAAGTAAATACGGGTTTACCCGTTTAAATTAGTGCTTCGCAAAACGTTCTGAGAGTAATTAATGGCATCGCAATTAGATGACGGCATCATTTCGGTAGTTAGTTTAATCATCTCGGTATTTCTGGTGTAACTAGCTGCATGTGAGGATGTTGGTCCACTCTTGCCCATTTGCCTGTGACTTGATCCTTTTTTCAATTAGGTGCACCGAGCCTGGCACCCCCGTTTTTACTTTAACATCCCCTCCCTCCCTTTATCGTCTCCCATCCGTTTCCCTTCTACTACCCCACTAAACAAACACAACTCACAGATTGTTCTGCCCCATCCCGTATCTGTCCCTCCACATAAAATAAGAATCCAAGTTTCTTTTTCGATTTAAAGCTTTTGTGACTGCAGGGATTCATCTTCTTGGTTCTTTCGGTAAAGTCACGTAGAATGGAAATGATAAAATAATAAAAATAATAATGGAAATAAAAAAAAAATAATTTTTAATTATATTATATTATTTCATTATGTTACATTTTTATTCTTTTTATTATTTTATTACTTCCATTCTACGTGACTTTACCGAAAGAACCAAGAAGATGAATCCAAGTTTTTTTTTCGACTCATCACATCAGCCCCCAATCGCCTTGTTGGGAGTATTATTTATTTTCCTTCAGCGGCAAACTCTGGACCGGTTTCCACGTTTCTGTCTCTCATCAGCAGAGTGCCGTTGTCAAGGCTCGCTTTTTGATTTTCTTCAGCAGTATTTGATTATTAAATGCCAAACTCTGGACCGGTTTCGACGTTTCGGTGCTCGCTTCAACCAATGCTGATGAACTGCCCAGATGTTTGGGAAGGTAAGGGCACTGTCCTTCTCTCCGTTGTCAGATAGGGGGAGGGGGGTCCTTGATTTGACGCAAGCCTCTACGATACAACGCAGAACAAGCAGCATCAGAACCTGCGTTTATACGGCAGGAGGAATCCGATGAGCTATGAAGCTCTTGATCAGATATGTCTATTAGGGGCGGGTTAAAAATAAATATTCTGATTCTATGATACAACGCAGAACAATCACCGCTCGCGGCGCTGTGGAGAATATACATATAAGTTACCACGGTTTTTTCTGCATTTTGTCGTTTCTGTATCGTTACTGAAAAAAAAACGAAATAAAAATATATATATATACTGTATATATAACAACAAAAATACATCGAAATAAAAACCGCTGGAGTCTTTGTCGAAGTCGACATTGGATGTGAATGTGAAAACGGACTGGCACTTTCCATGATAATGTGGAATGTCCACACACCGGCTCAGGGCCACCAAGAGTAGAAACATGTGTGAGCCTCCTGCGCCCCCCCCCACGACCACCCACCCCCCATCGGCACGCGGAGGAGGGAAGAACCTCCTCTGACCACGACGCTGTCTTGTCGCGTCTTCATCGCGTGTTTCAGCAGCAACAAACAACAACAACAAACAACACAAACAACAACAACAAAACAGAAAGTCGACTTTGACCTGACGACGAGAGACGCTGACCATTCGGACGAGTTGTCTGAGATCCGCTGCCTGCGTTGCCGCAACGGCGTCTCACGATGCCGAGTCGAACCAACACAGACAAACAAACAAACAAAGGCGAGTGGCCTCGTGACGTTCGGCTTCGTACGGTGCGAAAGAAGTTCGACACACCGTGCGTACGGCGCGCGGATCCCAAGTGCAGGAAGAGGTCGAATGCGACCGCGTGGTCCGGGAATCGTAGTCGCGTCGTCTCCCTCGTCGTCATGCACGCGAATACTCGCTCTCAGCACTTGCCCCGATATTCTGTTGAGGCTATACGGGGGATTCATCTTCTTGGTTTCATTCGGTAAAGTCACGTAGAATGGAAATAATAAAATAATGAAAATAAAGCATAATTAAATAATTCTCACGACGTTTCGGCCACAACGCAAGCAGCCGTCCTCGGGTGAAGAACAGGTCTGTCGAGAAGACAGAGTCTGAAACGTCGTGAGAATTATTTTATTACGTTAAATTTTTATTATTTTATTATTTCCCTTCTACGTGACTTTACCGAAAGAACCAAGAAGATGAATCCCTGCAGTCACGAAAGAAGCTTGAAATCGAAATTTATACGAGGGATCTTTGTCTTTGGCTTCCTTTGTGCGATTGTATACGTATCCACGTATGTCTCGAAGCAAATACGTCCCTTGCAAACACGACGCATGCACAGCACAAGGATCCGTAACAAAGACAAAGATTTCACGGAGAGAATGTGAAGGATGTTGGGGTAAACGTCGCGAGCGAGCTCCATAGAAGGCCGGAACGGGCCACCAACAAGACGACACGGCCAGCACCACGCCCGACCGCCTTTGTCTCCCCATTGATGACGTACACACGCACCGCACTTGGTGGTGTCCTCAATTTTAAGGCTGAGTCGACCTCGGGAAGGGCCAACATCGGTTCAGATATTCGCCACTCAATGTGAGCGGCAGTGGGGAATTGAACTCGGGTGAAACATACTCAGCTGTGTGTGTCGCTCATACACACGCACATCTCTGTGTATGTCACTCACATGTGCGTATGATTACGTGTGTACGTATGTTGTTTGTGTTTGTATGTATGTGCCTGTGCGTATGTTGGGGGGGGGGGGTGCGTCGCGCACACAGGCACGCACACTCACCCATCAAAAACAAAAGATCAACAAACTCGTGTTGCCTTGACAGACATGGCTAGCGAGTAAACTATGAATGCCGGTTCGCACGGCGGCGTGGGGAGCCAGCACCACGCCCGCTCGCCGTTGTCTCCCCAGCGCGTGACGTGTCACACCGCATTGAATCGACATAGAGGAAGGAGGGATGACCAGCACGAGTTGAGATTTTTCGTCACCGGTAGTCGCCGGACGTGGTAGGGGTAAGTGCGCTAACCACTACACGACCGCTACAAAGATAAAGATCCCCCGTATAGGCTTAACAGACTGTAGGGGCAAGTGCTGTTAGCGAGCACCTATGAAGGCCGGAACGGTACACGAATGAGGGGGTGGGTGGCCAGCACCACGCCCGACCGCCTTTGTCTCCCCAGTGGCGATGTTTACACACCGCACCAGGTACTCATTTAAGGATGAGTCGACCTAGAGGAGGCCCGGGACCGGCTCAGAAAATCGTCACTGGTGTTAGCCGTGAGCGGGAATCAAACCCGGGTCGCCGGGTTCGTAGCGCAGCGCGCTAACCGCTACACCACCGCTCCCCACACACATACACACACACACATCGTTGTGCGTGTCGCTTCACACACACAGACACAGATCGCTCATATAGCCTACACAGACCGTTGGGGCAATTGCTGTTTGTGAGGTCGCCGTGGAACACGAGGGGTGGGTGGGTGGCCAGCACCACGCCCGCCCGCCCGCCTTGACACACCGCACCGGCTACTCATTTGAGGCTGAGTCGACGTAGGGGAGGCCCAGGACCGCTCCAGATAATCGTCACTGGTGGTGTTCGCCGTGAGCGGGAATCGAACTCGGGTGGCCGGGTTTGTAGCGCTAACCGCTACACCACCGCTCCCCACACACACACAGACAAAGATCCCCCGTATATCTGTTTGCGAGTAGCAGCACCTGATTAGCATCATCATCATCAGCATCGTCATGAGCATCATGAGCATCATACTTTCTCCTGGCGCAGTGAAGGGAACACAATCGAGTAACATTTGCGATAAAGGCCGCCACGGGACACGAGGCGAGAGTGGGTGTCCAACACTACGCCCGGCACGCTAACCGCTACACTACCGCTCCCCAAAACACAACAGACACAATTCTAGATTTGAAGCTTTCGTGACTGCAAGGATTCATACTCTTAGGGATTTTTTCGGTAAAAGTCACGTAGGTAAAAAATATTAAAATTAATAAAAGTAATAATAGAAGAAAAAAAATCACGACGTTTCGGAGGCAACACAAGTCTCCGTCATCAGGTGGGACCATCACAGCCAGATTAGTAAATCAAGATTAGTAAATCTATCTGTGACGGTCCCACCTGATGACGGAGACTTGTGGTGGCTCCGAAACGCCGTGATTTATTCTTTTATTTTATTTCTACTATTACTTTTATTAATTTTAATTTTATTTTTTACCAACGAGACTTTACTGAAAAAATCTAAGAGTGCAACAGACACACACACACGCACACAGGTGCACACAGGCACACACAGCGAAATGAACACACACAGACGCGTAGAAAAACACACACAAGCACACACAGCGATACACACACATAAAGATCCCCCGTATAACCTTAACAGACTGTAGGGGCAAGTGCTGTTAGCGAGCACCTATGAAGGCCGGAACGGTACACGAGGGGGTGGGTGGCCAGCACCACGCCCGACCGCCTTTGTCTCCCCAGTGGCGATGTTTACACAACGCACCAGGTACTCATTTAAGGCTGAAGTGACCTAGGGGAGGCCCAGGACCGGTTCAGATAATCGTCACTGGTGTTAGCCGTGAGCGGAAATCGAACCCGGGTCGCCAGGTTCATAGCGCAGCGCGCTAACCGCTACACTACCGCTCCCCACATATACACACACACAGGCACGCACAGGCACACACCACCCACACACAGGCACACACAGCGACACACACACACGCAGAGCCGTATGCGCGGAGTACGGATTAGTCCCTGACACGCGGTAATTCCAGCATTTTTTTTCCAATTAAAGCTCTGAACCAATACCCCTGTCCCCCCTCCCCCCCAAGCCACAGCCACTTATCAGACGCGAACATATGTTCACTTAGGGTGGGGGCTTAAGGAATTCTGCTGCCATTTCACGCTTATTCGCCTTCTTATCCAAGAGAGTAGCGACGCAAAAAACGTCCGTTTTTATTTTTTGTGCTGAATTGAATATTTTTTTCAAAACTATATGTGAATTTTATATTATTGCTACTGCTACAGGACGCGTAGTTAAACGTTTTATTTTATGTGCGTGTCCGTCCGAATATTGTCGCCACGTTTGATGGTTTAAAGGCGGAGCGTGCAAGCACATGGCTCGGCAGAGAAGATTGTGTGATGAGCTGATAGCCCTTCGCAAGGCGTCTTCGAGCGAAGCTTCAGTAGCAGAAGACACATTTGCAGGCGTCACGGTGCTACGGTAGGAATGGGTCACGGCACGTGGTAAACGATACAGACGCACATATACGGAGTGTATATATTATACACACGGTGCGTACACTATTTCGGCGCCTACGATTTTCACGGTCGGCTACGTACGGCGCGAAAGAAGTTCAGCGGTTCAGAATTTTTGCCGGATTATAAGACGCACCCTTCCTTACCACCCCCTCTCCCTCGCTATTTGAAAAACTAAAGTTGGTGGGAGTTGCGTCTTTTTTTTTACGATCAGAGGAAACAAGAAGATGCT